AAGGGAAGAAGAAGAAGATCAAATAGCCGCTCTCGTCCTCCCTCCTCATCCTCCATCCTTAAGAAGAAGAAGAAGAAGAAGAAGAAGAAGAAAGAATAAGTGATGATGATAATGATGAATGTGATCTTTCGAAACAGATACAAGACATCTTCGTATGTAAAACTGTTTGCTAGACTATCTGTCCTAATCCCTGTTAAACATACTTGGCGTCTGATGCAATGATTGGCCCCTAAGATGTGATAATCTACTGACTCCGTGATTCCTGGTGTCGCTCACTGCAGTACGTGATATATAAATGTGAAGATGAAAGCCAGAGATTGTAGTGATGTAAGGTGATAGATGGCTGCATGATAGACAGGAGATTGATAGACTGGTCGGCTTGATGTGGATGAAAACTGAAATGTAAAATGCCTCTAAGAGTCCAGTGACAATAATAGGATGAAAGTATTCGCAAAATGATAAATGGAAGAAAGAAATAGTGGATAACACGGGGGATACAATAATAAAGAAGGTGAGATAAATACAATGAATAATTACCATATTAATGAAAAAATTAACTAGTTAATTATTTAAACATTAATGAAAGAAAAAATATTGAAAAGATTTTATAAGAATACACATAGCGAAATTTTTCTTGCATATTTCTTCTTCTTCTTCTTCTTCTTCTTCTTTTCTTCTTCTTCTCTTTCTTCTTCTTTTTCTCTTTCTTCTTCTTCTTCTTCTTCTTCTTCTTCTTCTTCTTCTTCTTCTTCTTCTTCTTCTTCTTCAGCTTCTTCTTCTTCTTCTTCTTCTTCTTCTTCTTCTTCTTCTTCTTCTTCTTCTTCTTCTTCTTCTTCTTCTTCTTCTTCTTCTTCTTCTTCTTCAGCTTCTTCTTCTTCTTCTTCTTCTTCTTCTTCTTCTTCTTCTTCTTCTTCTTCTTCTTCTTCTTCTTCTTCTTCTTCTTCTTCTTCTTCTTCTTCTTCTTCTTTTCTTTTCTTCTTCTTCTTCTTCTTCTTCTTCTTCTTCTTCTTCTTCTTTCTTCTTCTTCTTCTTCTTCTTCTTCTTCTTCTTCTTCTTTCTTTTTCTTCTTCTTCTTCTTCTTCTTCTCTTCTTCTTCTTTTTCTCTTTCTTTCTTCTTCTTCTTCTTCTTCTTCTTCTTCTTCTTCTTCTTCTTCTTCTTCTTCTTCATTTCATCTTATATTGCTCTGTATTCAAGGTTCTGTTTCGTGCTCTTCTGCACGCCTCGGCTGTAAACAAATTGTCTTCTTCTTCTCTTCCACCGTGTACTTCATCGAAGTGTGTGTGGGGGGGGGGGGGGGGGGTGGGGGGGGGGGTGGGGGGGGGGGGGTGATGTAATGTTCGTTGATGAGCTCCTTCAAGAGCACTATTATGGCTGATGTTCATTTCTGTAAGGTTGTTCTTAATGCCATCACTCCATATTTTCCGAGGTCTTCCACTCGTTCTATACCCGTTGAAACGTTTTAGTGTGACTTGCTGTGACGGATAGTACCAGGGCATTCTTGTTAGGTGTCCAAACCACTTCATTTGTTGTTCTTTGATGACCTGTAAGACTGACTTTATTCCTAGCATTCGTCTTATTTCATGATTTCGTATTCTGTCTTTCCTTGAAACTCCTGCAGCTCTTCTAAGGCATTTCGTCTCTGTTGTCACAATTTTACGTTCATTGATGCCTTTTGGCCACGTTTGGTATTGATAGCATAGTGTTGGCCAAAAAATAGTTCTAATAAGATTCGCTTTAGTACTCCGAGGTATCTGCTTGCGTGTCAACAGGGGAGATAGTTGCCCCATTACTTGATTAGCTTTGGCCATCTGGAGCTAATTTTCCTGTCCACTTTTCCGTCGGATGTAAAAATTGCTCCCAAATACTTAGATTCCTCTGTTTGTCTCAGGGTGTTGTTTTTTAATTTAATTTCTAAATTGTCTTTATGTCCTCCTAACATCATTGTCTCTGTCTTCGTTGCGTTTATTTTCATATTATATTCCTCCCCTTTGTTACTAATTTGATTTAGGTGGTTCTGTAGGCATTCTGTATTTTCTGCTATGAGTACCTGGTCGTCGGCAAAGAGTAATTATGTAATATCTTCTTCATGATTAAAGTTCGTTTCGCTACATATAGTATCCATGTAGGTTATAAAAAGAAGCGGCGATAGTACACAGCCCTGACGCACACCAGAGTTCACTATAAAAGTTCTTGACAACCCTGCCTTTGATCTTATGCAGCACTTACTACGTGTGTGCAGGCTTTTGCATATATTAATGAGATGATTGCTGATTCCTTTTCTTCCCATACATTGCCACAACATATTCCTGTCGACTCTATCGAAGGCTTTTTCTTGGTCTATGAATGTCAACAAACATGTCTTATCATGTTCCATTGCCCTCTCTGATAGTTGTTTCAATGTAAATGGCATCTGTGCAACTTCTGTTTCTTCGAAAGTCCATCTGTGCTTCTGAAAGTTGAGACTCTATCAATGGTCTCAGCCTTTTTTTTTTTTTTTTTGATGATCTTAGCATACATTTTCCCAGTGTGACTGAGAATTGATATTCCTCTGTAATTATTACATTCCCTCTTACTTGCTTTATTTTTCCACAGCGGGACAATGACAGCAGTCTGCCAATCTGATGGTGTTTCTTGATTTTCCCATGCCACCTGAAATATTCTCTTTAACCATATTGCTCTCGTTTCTCCTGCTGCCTTGATGGCCTCAGCTGGTAGATTATCAATACCTGTCGCCTTTAGTCTAGGGGTGGTGTGAACAAATTGTACTGCTGTAAATGTGTGCTGATTTTGTCTGTCCATCTTGTTCCTGGTCTACTTCTTGCACTAGGTCCATCTCCTCTTGTGGTACTCGCCTTCTAAAATATGATCTCATGAGGCATTCTCTCTAAGTGGGTGAACCATTTGATTTGCTGTCTTTGTATGTACTAAAGCCTGGTGTACTGTGTGGATATTTTTTCTTATAATCTCATTCCTGATTTTAACTCTCATGTATACTGTGTTCATCTCATTTCCATGGTTACGTATCGTCTTGTCTGGTTTGTTGCGAGTGACCATGTCTGGCACTGGTATCATAGGATAAGAATGAATATGCTCTGTATGAGATGTTTCTTTGTGCCGAACCAGACTGTCTAATGTTGTAAAGTGAGGGCGCGTGATTGGTTGAGGGGGTAGGGATCTCAGTATGTGTCCACTACGGATGAAGTATTGTACTGATGAGTATACTCTTGGCAGGCAGAACAAAAATGCGTTAGAAAGATATCTTTACAGAGCTTACTCACAAAGAGAACTAACTACCCGCACCAGGAGAAGACAACTCGCATTCTTGGGCAAAGGGCAAAGAGGGGTATGTGGTAGCAACCAGAGCAATCCTGACAGTATTATAGTCCCCTAGACAAACCAGTGTGCTGAGTCCCTGGACAAACCAGTGTGCTGGGCCCCTGGGCAAACCAGTGTGCTGGGCCACTGGACAAACCAGTGTGCTAGGCCACTGGAAAAACCAGTGTGCTGGGCCCCTGGACAAACCAGTGTGCTGGGCCCCTGGACAAACCAGTGTGCTGGGCCCCTGGACAAACCAGTGTGCTGGGCCCCTGGACAAACCAGTGTGCTGGGCCCCATTGTGCCCTTGCGTTAAGACAGCCCTGTGTAGAATAAGAGAAGAAGAGTCACGGAGACTAAACAGGAGGGGATATTGCGCAGCTTGTCATCATTTCATGGACAAAATATATTTGTCAAAAACGAACAGGAGACAGAAGGTTGCGGACACGGTAACAATGCCGTAACACAGGAGGCAGAAGGTCGCGGATAGACACAGTAACAATGCCGTAACACAGAAGGCAGAAGGTTGCAGATATACACGGTAACAATGCCGTAACACAGAAGACAGAAGGTTGCAGATATACACGGTAACAATGCCGTAACACAGGAGGCAGAAGGTTGCAGATATACACGGTAACAATGCCGTAACACAGGAGACAGAAGGTTGCGGATAGACACGGTAACAATGCCGTAACACAGGAGGCAGAAGGTTGCGGACACGGTAACAATGCCGTAACACAGGAGACAGAAGGTTGCGGATAGACAAAGTAACAATGCCGTAACACAGGAGACAAAAGGTTGCAGATAGACAGGGTAACAATGCCGTAACACAAGATTCAGAAGGTTGCGGATAGACAGGGTAACAATGCCGTAACACAGGAGACAGAAGGTTGCGGAGAAACACAGTGACAATGCCGTAACACAGGAGACAGAAGGTTGCGGATAGACACGGTAACAATGCCGTAACACAGGAGACAGAAGGTCGCGGATAGACAAGGTAACAATGCCGTAACACAGGAGACAAAAGGTTGCCGATAGACAGGGTAGCAATGCTGTAACACAGGAGACAGAATGTTGCAGACAGACACGATGACAATGCAGGTGACAATGCCTAACACCGGAGGCAGAAGGTTGAGGATAGACACGGTGACAATGCCGTAAAACATGGGCTGTATGGAGAAATGTTTCGTCCGTAGAAGCAAGATTTCATAGATTGTTTATCATCATCATCAAGTGCCTTGCCATTAGGCGTAGGCGTTCCTGCTTCTCTTCCGTCTTCTGGATGAAATTCCACCGATGATGTTCCTTCACGCCACTGTCTTGAGCCATCCACCATTAGTTCCATACACCATGTTGCCAGTTAAAATATTTTCTCAAATTTCTGTGTTACACTCAGACTAAATGTAAAAATGTTAAAGTAAAACATGAGTTGTTTGACACGCATAAGACAACATCTGATCATATAAGGCGCGTTGTTTGGGTCACAGAGATTTATCATAAGACATAGTTAATGTGACGTGGCCTCTCTCTCTCTCCTTCTCTCTCTCTCTCTCCTTCTCTCTCTCTCCTTCTCTCTCTCTCTCTCTCTCTCACACACACACACACACACACACACACACACTAACATGGATGCATCAGTCATGTAGTTAATTGTGATGACTTAAACTATGTAACAATGACTTACCCTTTCTCGACCAGCTCGAAAACTGGGGACAAAATGACAAAACAGACGGGTTTACTTAATGTTAGACATGCATGAGTCAATTCAGTGTCATACATGGTGACTTGTTTACACAAGATGGCAGAGACATGCATGTATGGATTCAGTGTCATACATGGTGTCTTGTTTACACAAGAGGGCTGAGACATGCATGTATGGATTCAGTGTCATACATGGTGACTTGTTTACACAAGATGGCAGAGACATGCGTTTATCGATTCAGTGTCATACATGGTGACTTGTTTACACAAGATGGCAGAGACATGCGTTTATCGATTCAGTGTCATACATGGTGACTTGTTTACACAAGAAGGCAGAGACACACAACATACTGTCGTACATGCAAACAGGCAAGCAGGTAGAAAACAACAACAGAATAGCTAGTGCAGACAGTCACACAATCGTAGATACTGGTAGACACAATAAATCAACCATACATACAGTTAGATTAATATGCTCATATATCCCATGTAGATTAATGTGCTCACATATCCCATGTAATTTATGTGCTCACATATCCCATGTAGATTAATGTGCTCACATATCCCATGAAGATTAATGTGCTCACATATCCCATGTAGATTAATGTGCTCACATATCCCATGTAGATTAATGTGCTCACATATCCCATGTAGATTAATGTGCTCACATATCCTATGTACATTAATCAGCTCACATATCCCATGAAGATTAATGTGCTCACATATCCCATGTAGATTATTGTGCTCACATATCCCATGTAGATTAATGTGCTCACATATCCAATGTTGATTAATCAGCTCACATATCCCATGAAGATTAATGTGCTCACATATCCCATGTAGATTAATGTGCTCACATATCCCATGCTGACGTTTAGATGCCTGTTTTCACATGTTTGGTCTTGACCAGGTGCTGAATTCAATAACATAAACAATGGAACTCAGTGGACCCCTACAAAATAACTTGATGATCTGGACTTCGCTGATGATATTTTTCTTCTGTCCCACTTGAATCAGATGCAAGATAAATTAAAATACTTGATGTTAGACCACAACAGTTAGATCTAAAACTCCATATAGGTAAGACAAATATAAGAAGAATACATCAGGCAAAGAATAATGTGATTTCTCTTTATAGTATTCCACTACAAGACGTAGAATCGTACACCTATTTGAGCAGTAACACAGATAGAGAAACTGGTAGAGATCTTAAAGTACAGATACAAAAAGCAAGAGAAGCTTTCACAGCACTTAAGAAAAAGTGGAGGTAAAAAAAAAACCCACACTAAATTAATGCTAAACTTGTCAATTCTAATGTCAACACAGTACTGTTGTATGGAGCGGAAACTTGGAGAACAACTACGGCAATGAATGACTGAAAACATTCGTTAACTGCTGCCTGCAGAGAATAGATGGAATGAAATGGTATGACATGAAGTGGTCAGATCTTTGTCATCCCCGACCGCCCCAGAGACATTGACTTACCCGTTACACTAACCCCAACTCATAACACACCTATGACATTGGACTTTCAGGGGAATTTGGGATTTTCTTTGTTTGGGATGCATTAAAAATAAAGTACTCTCATTTGTAAAGACTACTTAGTGTGATGTGGTACACACCATGCGGTCGCCTTTACTTTCCATGACTTAACTGGAATACATTTAAGACTGGACACAACAACATTAACGCAGGTTTAAAAAAATCTGAATACTGACCTAAATATAATTTGTCCTCATCCGGGTCGTCCAGGACTTCCACTAGCTTGACCACATTAGGATGGTCCAGTTTTTTCAGGATAGCTATCTCTCTGTACACTCGCTCCAAGGGGTTGGGTGGTCGGGAGTTGGCTCGTCCCGCCCGTGCAGGCGGTACACGACCTGGCAAAAAGGACAGAGTTCGAATCTACCAGGTATCACATAATCATGCATACATAGGAACAGTAAACGTACCACTAACGTCATCACAGGAGACATAACTCCAGCTGTACTTAGACGTGGTCTTCAGCAGCGGAGTCACGAAAAAAAGCACAGCTGGAGTTATAGCTCTTGTTATGATGTTGGTAATACATTTAATGTTCCTATGAATGGACAGTAAGAGACAACGGGTATTGGACATTGAAGTTTTACACAGTTTTGTTGACAATATGGGCTACAGCCATTCAGCTTATACATAAACATGACTGAACAAACTTGAACAATGTATGAAGCTCAACTAAACAAACAAACAAGAACAAAAACATGCAGATACAAGTAAACACAAAGTACACATCTCATGAACAGACAAATCTGTGAAAAGCTGAGAATATCTACTTCTTCTTTGTTCACCAACTTTGAGCTCCTACAGAAATTCCTGGCTGTTCGTCCATTTGGACTTTGGCTTTGTACCAGGGCCTGTGTTGTGCGTGCACATCCGTTTTACTGGCTCATTTGTGTGCACATGGTTGTTTTTTGCCGCTCCGGCAGATGCATTCCGACTTGGAAAGAATCTCTCAGTTAGTCGACTCGTACAACATGCATGTCAACTCTGTAGAATATTTTGAATATGGTATACATACGATCATTGCAGTTTTGCCAAATGTGTAGTATGTGAAAGTATTTTCTGATGTTGGAGTGCGCGCGCGCACACACACACACACAGCGTGAGGGAGAGAGAGAGAGGGAGAAAGAGAGAGAGATGGCTGGAGAGGGTGTAATTATAAATAAGACATTCAATACATAGGGACGAACAATGATAATTGTATGTGAAATCACAAATTTGACTGCAGTGACTATGGCATTCAAGTTGTATGACACTCACGTTATATGACACTCACGTTGTATGACAGTCACGTATTTGACACTCACGTTGTATGACAGTCACGTATATGACACTCACGTTGTATGACACTCACGTTATATGACACTCACGTTGTATGACAGTCACGTATATGACACTCACGTTGTATGACAGTCACGTATATGACACTCACGTTGTATGACACCCACGTTATATGACACTCACGTTGTATGACAGTCACGTATATGACACTCACGTTGTATGACAGTCACGTATATGACACTCACGTTGTATGACAGTCACGTATATGACACTCACGTTGTATGACACTCACGTTGTATGACAGTCACGTATATGACACTCACGTTGTATGACACTCACGTTGTATGACACTCACGTTGAATGACAATCAGGTATATGACACTCACGTTGTATGACACTCACGTTGTATGACACTCACGGTGTATGACAGTCACGTATATGACACTCACGTTGTATGACAGTCACGTATATGACACTCACGTTGTATGACAGTCACGTATATAACACTCACGTTGTATGACAGTCACGTATATGACACTCACGTTGTATGACAGTCACGTATATGACACTCAAGTTGTATGACAGTCACGTATATGACACTCACGTTGTATGACACTCACGTTGGATGACAATCAGGTATATGACACTCACGTTGTATGACACTCACGTTGTATGACAGTCACGTATATGACACTCACGTTGTATGACAGTCACGTATATGACACTCACGTTGTATGACAGTCACGTCATAATAAGAACCATGAACTTACGATAAAATCCCGCTTTCTTCATCAGTTTTTTCTTTGACAGGATTTTCATTGCCTAAAATGAAAATAAAATACACAGTCAAAAACATACAGATATTTAACTAAGAGTGGCTATACCGATATTATCATTAACAGTTTGAATAACATAAGTCAGATGTTACTTTAGCAACAACCGTTACACGGAGAACCATATCATTCAGGTGTAACTATAGCAACAACCGTTACACGGAGAACCATATCATTCAGGTGTAACTATAGCAACAACTGTTACACGGAGAGCCATGTTGTCCGGTGTAACTATAGCAACAACTGTTACACGGAGAGCCATGTTATCAGGTGTAGCTATAGCAACAACTGTTACACGGAGAGCCATGTTGTCAGGTGTAACTATAGAAACAACTGTTACACGGAGAGCCATGTGGTCAGGTGTAACTATAGAAACAACTGTTACACGGAGAGCCATGTTGTCAGGTGTAACTAAAGAAACAACTGTTACACGGAGAGCCATGTTGTCAGGTGTAGCTATAGAAACAACTGTTACACGGAGAGCCATGTGGTCAGGTGTAACTATAGAAACAACTGTTACACGGAGAGCCATGTGGTCAGGTGTAGCTATAGCAACAACTGTTACACGGAGAGCCATGTTGTCAGGTGTAACTATAGAAACAACTGTTACACGGAGAGCCATGTTGTCAGGTGTAACTATAGAAACAACTGTTACACGGAGAGCCATGTTGTCAGGTGTAGCTAAAGAAACAACTGTTACACGGAGAGCCATGTTGTCAGGTGTAGCTATAGCTACAACTGTTACACGGAGAGCCATGTTGTCAGGTGTAGCCATAGCTACAACTGTTACACGGAGAGCCATGTTGTCAGGTGTAACTATAGAAACAACTGTTACACGGAGAGCCATGTTGTCAGGTGTAGCTAAAGAAACAACTGTTACACGGAGAGCCATGTTGTCAGGTGTAGCTATAGCTACAACTGTTACACGGAGAGCCATGTTGTCAGGTGTAGCTATAGCTACAACTGTTACACGGAGAGCCATGTTGTCAGGTGTAGCCATAGCTACAACTGTTACACGGAGAGCCATGTTGTCAGGTGTAGCTATAGCTACAACTGTTACACGGAGAGCCATGTTGTCAGGTGTAGCTATAGCTACAACTGTTACACGGAGAGCCATGTTGTCATGTGTAGCCATAGCTACAACTGTTACACGGAGAGCCATGTTGTCAGGTGTAGCCATAGCTACAACTGTTACACGGAGAGCCATGTTGTCAGGTGTAACTATAGAAACAACTGTTACACGGAGAGCCATGTTGTCAGGTGTAGCTAAAGAAACAACTGTTACACGGAGAGCCATGTTGTCAGGTGTAGCTATAGCTACAACTGTTACACGGAGAGCCATGTTGTCAGGTGTAGCTATAGCTACAACTGTTACACGGAGAGCCATGTTGTCAGGTGTAGCTATAGCTACAACTGTTACACGGAGAGCCATGTTGTCAGGTGTAGCTATAGAAACAACTGTTACACGGAGAGCCATGTTGTCAGGTGTAGCTATAGAAACAACTGTTACACGGAGAGCCATGTTGTCAGGTGTAGCTATAGCTACAACTGTTACACGGAGAGCCATGTTGTCAGGTGTAGCTATAGAAACAACTGTTACACGGAGAGCCATGTTGTCAGGTGTAGCTATAGCTACAACTGTTACACGGAGAGCCATGTTGTCAGGTGTAGCTATAGCTACAACTGTTACACGGAGAGCCATGATGTCAGGTGTAGCTATAGCTACAACTGTTACACGGAGAGCCATGTTGTCAGGTGTAGCTATAGAAACAACTGTTACACGGAGAGCCATGTTGTCAGGTGTAGCCATAGCTACAACTGTTACACGGAGAGCCATGTTGTCAGGTGTAGCTATAGAAACAACTGTTACACGGAGAGCCATGTTGTCAGGTGTAGCTATAGCTACAACTGTTACACGGAGAGCCATGTTGTCAGGTGTAGCTATAGCTACAACTGTTACACGGAGAGCCATGTTGTCAGGTGTAGCTATAGCTATAACTGTTACACGGAGAGCCATGTTGTCAGGTGTAGCTATAGAAACAACTGTTACACGGAGAGCCATGTTGTCAGGTGTAGCTATAGAAACAACTGTTACACGGAGAGCCATGTTGTCAGGTGTAGCTATAAAAACAACTGTTACACGGAGAGCCATGTTGTCAGGTGTAGCCATAGCTACAACTGTTACACGGAGAGCCATGTTGTCAGGTGTAGCTATAGAAACAACTGTTACACGGAGAGCCATGTTGTCAGGTGTAGCTATAGCTACAACTGTTACACGGAGAGCCATGTTGTCAGGTGTAGCTATAGCAACAACTGTTACACGGAGAGCCATGTTGTCAGGTGTAGCTATAGAAACAACTGTTACACGTAGAGCCATGTTGTCAGGTGTAGCCATAGCTACAACTGTTACACGGAGAGCCATGTTGTCAGGTGTAGCTATAGAAACAACTGTTACACGGAGAGCCATGTTGTCAGGTGTAGCTATAGCAACAACTGTTACACGGAGAGCCATGTTGTCAGGTGTAGCTATAGAAACAACTGTTACACGGAGAGCCATGTTGTCAGGTGTAGCCATAGCTACAACTGTTACACGGAGAGCCATGTTGTCAGGTGTAGCTATAGAAACAACTGTTACACGGAGAGCCATGTTGTGATGTGTAGCTATAGCAACAACTGTTACATGGAGAGCCATATCGTTCTGCTGTAACGCACAGCTCCAGCCAAATCATGATAGCAGATGAGACAGACGGATCGATCGAATAGTTTGCTCAGTCCGGGCTGCTGCCTACCTAAAGTTTCGCCACTCCGTCCTGAGATTAAAAAATCTGAATCAGGACGGCAGACTGACAAGGCGAATCCCAGATACCCGGTTCTATCTCCACAGAAGTTATCATTAGAGCACACCCGTAACGGTAACACGATCTAGGTGTCTCCTGCAGCAGTGTTAGCTAGGTCTTGGGGAGAACATTGGGTGCGGGGTACTCATTATTATATCCTGGCTGTTAAGTGTCAGTTTGACTGCATCAAGTCAGTCCCTCTTCTAGTCAGTCTGTCGGCTTTTTCATTACCTTCCAAGCCCTACAGTGATCTAGAGTTCACTATAGAATAAACTGTTCTACCGAAGAACCTATGTAAATCAGCTGTTGTCTGGTATAAATTCTGTGTATCTTGTGGTTTAACAATTGCTTGTAGAACCGACAAATTCAGATGCCCCCTGAAGTATTATATACCTGCGTCATCTGGAATAATTAAGGCTGTAGTTCAACTGATAATGATAATGATGATTGAGGCGATGAGGATGTGATAGGTGATGGTGGTGATGATGATTTCGATTGACTGTAGACAGAAATATAAACAAACTCACATAATGTACGTCATCCTGCTCGTTGTAAGCCAGCTTGACGATCCCGTAGGAGCCCTGCAGAGAAAGGCAGACTTGTCAATGAGTGAATTATTGGAAGAGGGTATAGCTGTATGTGTGTCACTAAATGAATGAATGGATGAGGGTATAGCTGTATGTGCGTCACTGAATAAATGAATGGATGAGGTTATAGCTGCATGTGTGTCACTGAATGAATGAATGGATGAGGTTATAGCTGTATGTGTGTTACTGAGTGAATGAATGGATGAGGTTATAGCTGTATGTATGTCACTGAGTGAATGAATGAATGGATGAGGTTATAGCTGTATGTGCGTCACTGAATGAATGAATTGATGAGGTTATAGCTGTATGTGTGTCACTGAGTGAATGAATGGATGAGGTTATAGCTGTATGTATGTCACTGAGTGAATGAATGAATTGATGAGGTTATAGCTGTATGTGCGTCACTGAATGAATGAATTGATGAGGTTATAGCTGTATGTGTGTCACTGAGTGAATGAATGGATGAGGTTATAGCTGGTTGTGTGTCACTGAGTGAATGAATGGATGAGGTTATAGCTGTATGTGTGTCACTGAATAAATGAATGAATGGATGAGGTTATAGCTGTATGTGTGTCACTGAGTGAATGAATGGATGAGGTTATAGCTGTATGTATGTCACTGAGTGAATGAATGGATGAGGTTATAGCTGTATGTGTGTCACTGAATGAATGAATGGATGAGGTTATAGCTGTATGTATGTCACTGAATGAATGAATGGATGAGGTTATAGCTGTATGTGTGTCACTGAGTGAATGACTGAATGAATGGGTGAGGTTACAGATATATATGTGTGTCACTGAGTGAATGATTGAATGAATGGATGAGGGTATAGCTGTATGTGTGTCACTGAGTGAATGACTAAATGAATGGATGAGGGTACAGCCGGGGCGTGGGGCGGGCAGAAGGATCAATTAACTGGACCACTCTCAAAAGTCTGGCAACAGATGCTGTCACAAGAAATGATATAATAGATGTGACTGGTCTTTTTAGGAGAGGACTAGACTTGACAGAAATGCTATCACTCCTTCTCTCAGGAATACCATCACTCCTACTCTCAGAGCATGACACATTTGATAGACAGCATGATACATTTGATAGAGAGCATGACACATTTGATAGACAGCATGATACATTTGATAGAGAGCATGACACATTTGATAGAGAGCATGACACATTTGATAGACAGCATGATACATTTGATAGAGAGCATGACACATTTGATAGACAGCATGATACATTTGATAGAGAGCATGACACATTTGATAGACAGCATGATACATTTGATAGAGAGCATGATACATTTGATAGACAGCATGATACATTTGATAGACAGCATGATACATTTGATAGACAGCATGATACATTTGATAGAGAGCATGACACATTTGATAGAGAGCATGATACATTTGATAGACAGCATGACACATTTGATAGAGAGCATGACACATTTGATAGAGAGCATGACACATTTGATAGAGAGCATGACACATTTGATAGAGAGCATGACACATTTGATAGAGAGCATGATACATTTGATAGACAGCATGACACATTTGATAGAGAGCATGATACATTTGATAGAGAGCATGATACATTTGATAGAGAGCATGACACATTTGATAGACAGCATGACACATTTGATAGACAGCATGACACATTTGATAGAGAGCATGATACATTTGATAGAGAGCATGATACATTTGATAGAGAGCATGATACATTTGATAGAGAGCATGATACATTTGATAGAGAGCATGACACATTTGATAGAGAGCATGACACATTTGATAGACAGCATGACACATTTGATAGAGAGCATGATACATTTGATAGACAGCATGACACATTTGATAGAGAGCATGATACATTTGATAGAGAGCATGATACATTTGATAGAGAGCATGACACATTTGATAGACAGCATGACACATTTGATAGACAGCATGACACATTTGATAGAGAGCATGATACATTTGATAGAGAGCATGATACATTTGATAGAGAGCATGATACATTTGATAGAGAGCATGATACATTTGATAGAGAGCATGATACATTTGATAGAGAGCATGATACATTTGATAGAGAGCATGATACATTTGATAGAGAGCATGACACATTTGATAGAGAGCATGATACATTTGATAGACAGCATGACACATTTGATAGAGAGCATGATACATTTGATAGAGAGCATGACACATTTGAGAGCATGACACATTTGATAGAGAGCATGACACATTTGATAGACAGCATGACACATTTGATAGAGAGCATGACACATTTGATAGAGAGCATGACACATTTGATAGAGAGCATGACACATTTGATAGAGAGCATGACACATTTGATAGACAGCATGACACATTTGATAGAGAGCATGACACATTTGATAGAGAGCATGACACATTTGATAGAGAGCATGACACATTTGATAGAGAGCATGACACATTTGATAGAGTGCATGACACATTTGATAGAGAGCATGACACATTTGATAGACAGCATGACACATTTGATAGAGAGCATGACACATTTGATAGAGAGCATGACACATTTGATAGAGAGCATGACACATTTGATAGACAGCATGACACATTTGATAGACAGCATGACACATTTGATAGACAGCATGACACATTTGATAGAGAGCATGACACATTTGATAGACAGCATGACACATTTGATAGACAGCATGACACATTTGATAGAGAGCATGACATATTTGATAGAGAGCATGACACATTTGATAGAGTGCATGACACATTTGATAGAGAGCATGACACATTTGATAGAGAGCATGACACATTTGATAGACAGCATGACACATTTGATAGACAGCATGACACATTTGATAGAGTGCATGACACATTTGATAGACAGCATGACACATTTGATAGAGAGCATGACACATTTGATAGAGAGCATGACACATTTGATAGACAGCATGACACATTTGATCCAGAGCATGATACATTTGATAGACAGCATGATACATTTGATAGACAGCATGATACATTTGATAGACAGCATGATACATTTGATAGAGAGCATGACACATTTGATAGAGAGCATGACACATTTGATAGAGAGCATGACACATTTGATAGAGAGCATGACACATTTGATAGAGTGCATGACACATTTGATAGAGAGCATGACACATTTGATAGAGTGCATGACACATTTGATAGAGAGCATGACACATTTGATAGACAGCATGACACATTTGATAGACAGCATGACACATTTGATAGAGAGCATGACACATTTGATAGACAGCATGACACATTTGATAGAGAGCATGACACATTTGATAGACAGCATGACACATTTGATAGAGAGCATGACACATTTGATCCAGAGCATGACACATTTGATAGACAGCATGACACATTTGATAGAGAGCATGACACATTTGATAGAGTGCATGACACATTTGATAGAGAGCATGACACATTTGATAGACAGCATGACACATTTGATAGACAGCATGACACATTTGATAGAGAGCATGACACATTTGATAGACAGCATGACACATTTGATAGAGAGCATGACACATTTGATAGAGTGCATGACACATTTGATAGAGAGCATGACACATTTGATAGACAGCATGACACATTTGATAGAGAGCATGATACATTTGATAGAGAGCATGACACATTTGATAGAGAGCATGACACATTTGATCCAGAGCATGATACATTTGATAGACAGCATGACACATTTGATAGAGAGCATGATACATTTGATAGAGAGCATGACACATTTGATCCAGAGCATGATACATTTGATAGAGAGCATGACACATTTGATAGAGAGCATGATACATTTGATAGACAGCATGACACATTTGATAGAGAGCATGACACATTTGATAGAGAGCATGACACATTTGATAGACAGCATGACACATTTGATCCAGAGCATGATACATTTGATAGACAGCATGATACATTTGATAGACAGCATGATACATTTGATAGACAGCATGATACATTTGATAGACAGCATGATACATTTGATAGAGAGCATGACACATTTGATAGAGAGCATGACACATTTGAGAGCATGACACATTTGATAGAGAGCATGATACATTTGATAGACAGCATGATACATTTGATAGACAGCATGATACATTTGATAGACAGCATGATACATTTGATAGACAGCATGATACATTTGATAGACAGCATGATACATTTGATAGACAGCATGATACATTTGATAGACAGCATGATACATTTGATAGACAGCATGATACATTTGATAGAGAGCATGACACATTTGATAGAGAGCATGATACATTTGATAGACAGCATGATACATTTGATAGACAGCATGATACATTTGATAGACAGCATGATACATTTGATAGACAGCATGACACATTTGATAGACAGCATGACACATTTGAGAGCATGACACATTTGAGAGCATGACACATTTGATAGACAGCATGACACATTTGAGAGCATGACACATTTGAGAGCATGACACATTTGATAGACAGCATGACACATTTGAGAGCATGACACATTTGATAGACAGCATGACACATTTGATAGACAGCATGACACATTTGAGAGCATGACACATTTGATAGACAGCATGACACATTTGATAGACAGCATGACACATTTGATAGACAGCATGACACATTTGATAGACAGCATGACACATTTGATAGACAGCATGACACATTTGATAGACAGCATGACACATTTGAGAGCATGACACATTTGATAGACAGCATGATACATTTGAGAGCATGACACATTTGAGAGCATGACACATTTGATAGACAGCATGATACATTTGAGAGCATGACACATTTGATAGACAGCATGACACATTTGATAGACAGCATGATACATTTGAGAGCATGACACATTTGATAGACAGCATGACACATTTGAGAGCATGACACATTTGATAGACAGCATGATACATTTGATAGACAGCATGACACATTTGATAGACAGCATGACACATTTGATAGACAGCATGACACATTTGAGAGCATGACACATTTGATAGACAGCATGACACATTTGAGAGCATGACACATTTGATAGACAGCATGACACATTTGAGAGCATGACACATTTGATAGACAGCATGACACATTTGAGAGCATGACACATTTGAGAGCATGACACATTTGATAGACAGCATGACACATTTGAGAGCATGACACATTTGAGAGCATGACACATTTGATAGACAGCATGACACATTTGAGAGCATGACACATTTGATAGACAGCATGACACATTTGAGAGCATGACACATTTGATAGACAGCATGACACATTTGAGAGCATGACACATTTGAGAGCATGACACATTTGATAGACAGCATGACACATTTGAGAGCATGACACATTTGAGAGCATGACACATTTGAGAGCATGACACATTTGATCCAGAGCATGATACATTTGATAGAGAGCATGATACATTTGATAGACAGCATGATACATTTGATAGAGAGCATGATACATTTGATCCAGAGCATGACACATTTGATCCAGAGCATGATACATTTGATAGAGAGCATGATACATTTGATAGACAGCATGATACATTTGATCCAGAGCATGACACATTTGAGAGCATGACACATTTGATCCAGAGCATGATACATTTGATAGAGAGCATGACACATTTGAGAGCATGACACATTTGATCCAGAGCATGACACATTTGAGAGCATGACACATTTGATCCAGAGCATGATACATTTGATAGAGAGCATGACACATTTGAGAGCATGACACATTTGATCCAGAGCATGATACATTTGATAGACAGCATGATACATTTGATAGACAGCATGATACATTTGATAGACAGCATGATACATTTGATAGACAGCATGATACATTTGATAGACAGCATGATACATTTGATAGACAGCATGATACATTTGATAGACAGCATGACACATTTGATAGACAGCATGATACATATGATAGACAGCATGACACATTTGATAGACAGCATGATACATTTGATAGACAGCATGATACATTTGATAGACAGCATGACACATTTGATAGACAGCATGACACATTTGATAGAGAGCATGACACATTTGATAGAGAGCATGACACATTTGATCCAGAGCATGATACATTTGATCCAGAGCATGATACATTTGATCCAGAGCATGATACATTTGATCCAGAGCATGATACATTTGATCCAGAGCATGATACATTTGATCCAGAGCATGATACATTTGATCCAGAGCATGATACATTTGATCCAGAGCATGATACATTTGATCCAGAGCATGATACATTTGATCCAGAGCATGATACATTTGATCCAGAGCATGATACATTTGATCCAGAGCATGATACATTTGATAGAGAGCATGACACATTTGAATCCAGAGCATGTGCTGTGAAGTACACATGTCGTGTTGACAGGTTGTGAGTGTAAAAACTTGAGCCAATTAAAGTTGTGAAACAGAGGTTGTTTGATGTACACGTGTGACTGCAAACACACCGAAGCAGATTTGAACTCAAAACGGCTAGACAGCAGGCCAACATTAGACTAGTACAGTGGTTGACATGTGTCAATGAATGGTCCATGAAAGCAAGGAAAGACAGACAGCGCACAGTGAAACGGCGTGTACCCACAAAATTAACAGATGAATAAGAGTTTAGCCCCAGGAAATGCAACTAAATTGGTGTCGGTCGTCCTTGACTTTCAATTGAAGTGGATCTCCGGCACACACACACGTACACATGCACGCATGCACACGCGCACCTACACACATACTCATACGCTGTCTCTCTCTTTCTGTGTTCTATCTCCCTTCTCTCTCTCTCTCTTCTCTCTCTCTCTCTCTCTCTCTCTCTCTCTCTCTCTCTCTCTCTCTCTCTCTCTCTCTCTCTCTTTTTCTGTGTTCTATCTCTCATATCTCTTTCTCTTCTCTCTCTCTCTCTTCTCTCTCTCTCTCTTTCTAGCTCTGATCTATCTCCCTCTATCTTTTATCTCCGAGTGTCTGTATGTACATTTATGTGTGAGCCCGCTTGTGTCCGAGTGTCTGTATGTACATTTATATGTGAGCCCGCTTGTGTCTGACTGTCTGTATGTACTTTTATGTGTGAACCCGCTTGTGTTTGACTGTCTGTATGTACGTTCATGTGTGAGCCCGCTTGTGTTTGACTGTCTGTATGTACGTTCATGTGTGAGCCCGCTTGTGTTTGACTGTCTGTATGTACATTTATGTGTGAGCCCGCTTGTTTCCGAGTGTCTGTATGTACATTTATGTGTGAACCCGCTTGTGTTTGACTGTCTGTATGTACGTTCATGTGTGAGCCCGCATGTGTTTCACTGTCTGTATGTACATTCATGTGTAAGCCCGCTTGTGTTTGACTGTCTGTATGTACATTCATGTGTGAGCCTGCTTGTTTCCGACTGTCTGTATGTACATTTATGTGTGAGCCCGCTTGTGTTTGACTGTCTGTATGTACGTTCATGTGTGAGCCCGCTTGTGTTTGACTGTCTGTATGTACGTTCATGTGTGAGCCTGCTTGTGTCTGAGTGTCTGTATGTACGTTCATGTGTGAGCCCGCTTGTTTCCGACTGTCTGTGTGTACATTTATGTGTGAGCCCGCTTGTGTTTGACTGTCTGTATGTACATTTATGTGTGAGCCCGCTTGTTTCCGACTGTCTGTATGTACATTTATGTGTGAGCCCGCTTGTGTCTGAGTGTCTGTATGTACATTCATGTGTGAGCCCGCTTGTGTCTGACTGTCTGTATGTACATTCATGTCTGAGCCCGCTTGTGTTTGACTGTCTGTATGTACATTCATGTGTGAGCCCGCTTTGTGTCTGAGTGTCTGTATGTACGTTCATGTGTGAGCCCGCTTGTGTTTGACTGTCTGTATGTACATTCATGTGTGAGCCCGCTTGTGTCTGAGTGTCTGTATGTACGTTCATGTGTGAGCCCGCTTGTGTTTGACTGTCTGTCTGTCTGTATGTACGTTCATGTGTGAGCCCGCTTGTGTTTGACTGTCTGTATGTACGTTCATGTGTGAGCCCGCTTGTGTCTGAGTGTGTGTATGTACGTTCATGTGTGAGCCTGCTTGTGTTTGACTGTCTGTATGTACATTTATATGTGAGCCCGCTTGTGTTTGACAGTCTGTATATACGTTCATGTGTGAGCCAGCTTGTGTTTGACTGTCTGTATGTACGTTCATGTGTGAGCCCGCTTGTGTCTGAGTGTGTGTATGTACGTTCATGTGTGAGCCCGCTTGTGTTTGACTGTCTGTATGTACATTTATATGTGAGCCCGCTTGTGTTTGACTGTCTGTATGTACGTTCATGTGTGAGCCCGCTTGTGTTTGACTGTCTGTATGTACGTTCATGTGTGAGCCCGCTTGTGTTTGACTGTCTGTATGTACGTTCATGTGTGAGCCCGCTTGTGTCTGAGTGTGTGTATGTGCGTTCATGTGTGAGCCCGCTTGTGTTTGACTGTCTGTATGTTCGTTTATGTGTGAGCCCGCTTGTGTTTGACTGTCTGTATGTACGTTCATGTGTGAGCCCGCTTGTGTTTGAGTGTGTGTATCAGGGATACTCTCAAAGAACCCATTTTACTCTCCTGGAACTCATTTACACTGGCAACAACAGAAAACCGGTCTCATATTTTCTAAAAATGACGATAACGATATCTTCTTGTTCATGTTCACATTCTGTTAACTCCGACAGAAAGTTTTGGTTGTTTGTCCATTTCTGGATTCTAGTCCCATTGCAGAACTTGAATTTTTCGTACACATCCATTTTACAGTACAAGCTTCAAGTACATGCTTCCGACTTTGAAGAAAGTTCCCAAGTCGTCGACTCTTAGGACATGCTAGGTATACACTGTGTCTTTTTTGTTTTCGCCACAGTAGGGCCCCGGATCTTACATACAGATAATGATGATGATAATACTGACAATATAAAAGCATAGATAATGATTATGATAGTAATAAATATAACGATGATGATGATGGTGACAAAGATGATAATGATATTATTTATGATCTTTCTGATAATAATGATGATAATTTGAGAGAGGCAAAGAAGCAGAAGAAGACACGGCTGCCTACCTTGCCGATCTCATCTTTGAGCTTGTATTGATTTAGCTGCGTGTACCCATCGCCGTCAGACACTGATATCCGATGTGTCTCCATGGTGGGTTGTCGCCGGAGCCTCGGAGACGCTGTGGGAGATCCGTAAGGGGAATAAGGCAAGGACGGAATGATAGGACGGTGGTGTCCACAGGAAGCGGTCAGTCTGTCTTCAGAATGGCTGTAGACAATCTTTGGGGCGCGGCGCACATTGACAAGCGGATTTGCTGCAGATGGAGATGAAATAATCCCCCTGTCGTTGGAGTCTTGAAGAGGGTAAGAAGTTGTGGATAAATACGGAGATTGTGGATCTGACGATGTCAAAAACTCCGGATATATGGGGACGTTAAGGTGGCCGGTAGCGTCCACACAAGCTATGCTGTGTCGCCTGGAGATAGAGTCTTGCTGGTTGCTTAGCTCGAGTTCGATCTCGTGCACCTCTTCACAAAGACATTCGTTGTCGTCGTCGGCTCCACTGGTTGAGCTCCTGCCAGAGTCGACGGTGATGTTGGAAATCCTCCGATGAAGAGTTGTTTTTGGAGAGTAAGGCAGTACGGGAATACCTGTGTTGGTATTGAGCTCTGAGTGCTGAGGGTGGTGATGTTGCTGCTGCGGGATTGGGCTGTTGGTAATTGGGTCGGAAACTTCAGTGTATTTGCTACAGTCTTCAGTGACTGGAGTTGTCGAACATGTCCTCTGGCGCTGTTGCAGTAACCTGTTGGTTTGTTCCGGATTGTCGATGGATGGTTTTGAGTTATAAGTTTTTGTGGTGCTGAGCGGCGGGAGCCTTGTCGCAACGCGAGAGATTGTCGGATCACACTGCCCATTAGGCTCTTGACTCCTGGAAGCCTCTTCAGAACAGTTCTCCTTTGGGGACACACCATGCCTTGGGAAAGAATTCCTAGGCGGGATGTTGTGGAGACTGTGTGTGTCTGTGTAACTGCTGGTATCTATATGTACACGATCTGGATCAAGGTCGCTTAGTGACGAGATATCTCTCTCAGGGGAGATGCAAGAGGTCGGATGTTTGTTGACCATCTCCTCCTGAAGGTCCTGGCCTCGAGCGAAATGGCAGTTTCTGGGTGGAAGAAAATGCACAGTCAATTATTGGCAATGGCAGTTTCTGGGTGGAAGAAAATGCACAGTCAATTATTGGCAATGGCAGTTTCTGGGTGGAAGAAAATGCACAGTCAATTATTGGCAATGGCAGTTTCTGGGTGGAAGAATATGCACAGTCAATTATTGGCAATGGCAGTTTCTGGGTGGAAGAAAATGCACAGTCAATTATTGGCAATGGCAGTTTCTGGGTGGAAGAAAATGCACAGTCAATTATTGGCAATGGCAGTTTCTGGGTGGAAGAAAATGCACAGTCAATTATTGGCAATGGTAGTTTCTGGGTGGAAGAAAATGCACAGTCAATTATTGGCAATGGCAGTTTCTGGGTGGAAGAAAATGCACAGTCAATTATTGGCAATGGTAGTTTCTGGGTGGAAGAAAATGCACAGTCAATTATTGGCAATGGCAGTTTCTGGGTGGAAGAAAATGCACAGTCAATTATTGGCAATGGCAGTTTCTGGGTGGAAGAAAATGCACAGTCAATTATTGGCAATGGTAGTTTCTGGGTGAAAGAAAATGCACAGTCAATTATTGGCAATGGCAGTTTCTGGGTGGAAGAAAATGCACAGTCAATTATTGGCAATGGCAGTTTCTGGGTGGAAGAATATGCACAGTCAATTATTGGCAATGGCAGTTTCTGGGTGGAAGAAAATGCACAGTCAATTATTGGCAATGGCAGTTTCTGGGTGGAAGAAAATGCACAGTCAATTATTGGCAATGGCAGTTTCTGGGTGGAAGAAAATGCACAGTCAATTATTGGCAATGGTAGTTTCTGGGTGGAAGAAAATGCACAGTCAATTATTGGCAATGGCAGTTTCTGGGTGGAAGAAAATGCACAGTCAATTATTGGCAATGGTAGTTTCTGGGTGGAAGAAAATGCGCAGTCAATTATTGGCAATGGCAGTTTCTGGGTGGAAGAAAATGCACAGTCAATTATTGGCAATGGCAGTTTCTGGGTGGAAGAATATGCACAGTCAATTATTGGCAATGGCAGTTTCTGGGTGGAAGAAAATGCACAGTCAATTATTGGCAATGGCAGTTTCTGGGTGGAAGAATATGCACAGTCAATTATTGGCAATGGCAGTTTCTGGGTGGAAGAAAATGCACAGTCAATTATTGGCAATGGCAGTTTCTGGGTGGAAGAAAATGCACAGTCAATTATTGGCAATGGCAGTTTCTGGGTGGAAGAAAATGCACAGTCAATTATTGGCAATGGCAGTTTCTGGGTGGAAGAAAATGCACAGTCAATTATTGGCAATGGTAGTTTCTGGGTGGAAGAAAATGCACAGTCAATTATTGGCAATGGCAGTTTCTGGGTGGAAGAAAATGCACAGTCAATTATTGGCAATGGCAGTTTCTGGGTGGAAGAATATGCACAGTCAATTATTGGCAATGGCAGTTTCTGGGTGGAAGAAAATGCACAGTCAATTATTGGCAATGGCAGTTTCTGGGTGGAAGAAAATGCACAGTCAATTATTGGCAATGGCAGTTTCTGGGTGGAAGAAAATGCACAGTCAATTATTGGCAATGGCAGTTTCTGGGTGGAAGAATATGCACAGTCAATTATTGGCAATGGCAGTTTCTGGGTGGAAGAATATGCACAGTCAATTATTGGCAATGGCAGTTTCTGGGTGGAAGAAAATGCACAGTCAATTATTGGCAATGGCAGTTTCTGGGTGGAAGAAAATGCACAGTCAATTATTGGCAATCCTTTTTGTTTTAAATATTCTTCACTCAACATATTCTAAACTAGTCTTTTTCTTCTTCTCTTGTCGTCTCACTTTTACCAGGTTGTAGTTCAGTGTCTAAGCTCGTTATATTCAAATTGAGCATTATACAGTACACATACTCTGAAGTTCTATACAGTTCCTGGCATGGTAAGCTCTCCGAACTTTCTCTCACATTCACTTACTACCTGTGATAATTAATTAACTCTAAAATTCCACAAATGAAAACCAGTTTATCTGAATCATAACAAAGACATTCTGATCAATATACTTATATGTTCGGTTAATGTTAGTGTCCTACAAGAAACGCTAAATAAATTCTCTACCTACGCTTAATAAAATACCCACCTATGTTGATTTAATGTGTCTATAAAACCAACAATATTGGCGATAAATAAACTATACGTATACATCTCGTACTAAACGAGCTATAAGTACATGTTCAGGTATTAACAACAAATCCTACTAAAAAATATACGCAAATATTTAGTTACCAACAACATCTGGCCCTAAAAAATCTATAAATATACGTTCAATTATCAACAAAATCCCCTGCTACAAAAACTATAGGCATTTGTTGAGTTGCAGAAAACAGCTGGTACAAAACAAACTATATGTAGACGTCGAGATACAGTGCCCCTAAAGTCCCAGAGAGCAAAACCAGCTCACTTATGCGGGTGATGTCCACAGGAAATCACAGTGACGGGAAATCTCCAGCCGAGAACGATTAACCAGGAATTCAAAGTGTCCCTGAAAGGTTGGCGCGACAGCGTGCCATGTTCATTCATTTCTAGGTCAGGAGAAACAGAAATCTTTTCAATTTTCAGGCAGCAGTCGCAACTTTGGATTGAAGATATTTTGTAGAGATGTTTGTTTGTTTTAGTATCCAGAAGCCATGAGTTGTTAACCTTTAGGCTCGGTATTATGGAAATCGCAACCTTTCGGCCTTGATTCCATTGTAAATACCGCAAATCTGGGAGAAATGTAGCTTTCCTGCCTACCCCCGGGATTGAACCCGGACCACAAGGAGTTCGTCACCCGGTCTCCGCGCAATCCGGTTTAGCCATCTACGCTAGAGAGCCGGGAATGTTGTAGAGATAAGAAGAGGAATTACTCAAAAAATATTTTAGCAGACTATTTGTAGCAATTATTTTGAAACACTTCAAACTTCGGATGCTCGATGCCTTGTCGAGATTACAAGAAGAATTGGTATCAAAACGATGAAACCGGCGTTTATTTCCATTTATCGTTGAATAGTCAAAACTTCAAATGAAAGATGCTTTAAAGGGATTAGATAAAGAACTGCCTTGGTAAAAGTTTTATAATGCAAGTTGCAAAGCGCATTTACTTCCTGCTTCAATGTTGGGGGAAAAAAAGGCTATTAACAATAAATAATTAAAAAAAATAATAAAAATTGTACATGTGAGTAAAGCATTTTTTTTTTTTAAAGAATGTAACGGATGAGAAATTAACTTGAGGCTCTAGAGTGACATTTGAAAAGTGTCATGGGCCAGAAGTAGGAGAACAATCTATTGACTTAACTGAACGACATGACCCTCACAAACCTGATGAGATTATCTGGTGACCATGGGAGATGGTAGGGTACATTCAGATGCTGATGACAGGGAGGATTCTAGGGTCAGTAAGTGCACACTGGTGTAAGGATCTGTCTGTTTCTGAGTCTCACGAGGGACCATATGTATGCACATGCGCACAGACAGGATGGCCTGGTTTCGTTCATACTCTATGTGTGGGTTCCGGGGCCCCATTTTATGGGGGGGGGGATATACCCACTAACCCCTAAAAAGCATGTCGTATCAGGCCTCTAGTTAGGGATGTTTGCTTCCAAGTGGCAGTGCATCTGCCTGAGTGGCGAAAAACCAGTAGTCTGCATTCCAGTAAGTCAGATCTGTGAGACAGATGCGCAAGGACAATTCAAGTTCTGGTACAAGACCAAAGTTCAGAACCGGACGAACAACCAAAACTTTTCGCTGGATTTTGTGGACGGCGAGAAGAAAGACCAGTACGCGAAGTAAGTAATAGTAACACTGTGACCTACCATGCGTGTCGCAAGAGGCGACTAAAAACTTAACATGTAAAAATCCAGAAAATCACGAAAAGGTCAGTAAAGGGCTCGGCCTGAATTCGTTCACCTTATCCTTGTTCCTCGACTTCTTCTTCTCCTCCTTCTTATTCTCGTCCTCTTGGTCCTTCTCATTCACCTCTCTTCCATGCTGAAAACCGCAACTCTTCAGTAACAATAATACAAGCACAGTTACCACACGCACACTACAGCTTGTTCAACCTGCCACGATGTACTCGGGTATAGTGCAGCCTAAGGAAATATACATCTGATACCCCGGCGCCATTGATTTAATCTTCAAAACAGGATGTGGTTTCGCCGAAATAAGCGGCGACATGTGTGTAATGGTAAATAGTTTCCTGTTGCTCTGATTTAATCAGAGACACGCGGAAAGACGGTATAAAATAAGTCCTCAGACAGACACACCAAGCAGACACATGCAACATAGGCAGAATGTCATAGACACGGACGGGCAGACCGAGAAACAAATAAGGCAGACTGACAGGAGAGGACGGTAAACTGGTAAACAGAAGACAGGACATTCTCAGTTGTGTACAAGTTAGGACAGAACTGTCTGTCTCGCCGACCCAGTTAAAGATAGTCAGTGGTTAGGCAGACACATAGACAGATTTACAGTTAAGTAGGTCGGCGACTGTGGCTTAGGCGTGGCGAACGCGCTTCTTAATGTCGAGGTGCCGGGTTCAATCCCAGCTGCGGAGAGCTTGTTTTGCGTTAGTTTCGACAGTGCTACTAAGATGTGATCGTGCAGAAAGCAATGGCAAACTACTGAACGTACACTTTGCCTAGAAACACCACAACAGCCTAAATAATGCTGGTTTGGTTCTGCAATGTCCTGTAAAGGATACGCAACTAACTTTAAGATGGGAAAGACGGCAGATATATGTTCTAAAGGCGTACGGGTAGACAACTAGATTTATAGAAGAGTCAAGTGCCTTTTTATCGGATGGAGAAAGAGACAGTTGTGATGAAGGATACAGAGGGACAGATTTACAGAACGGCACACAGACAGAAACATCGACAGACATAGACGAAAAGACATTCAAACAGATTTAAAAAAAAAACACAGCTAGGAAGACCGTTTTTAAAAGAAGCACGCATGCAAACATTTCTTCTTTCTGCGTGGCAGCAGCTGTGAGATAAGAAGATCTCAGGCCTCTTTGGAGGCTGTGTAACGACCGCGTGTCCTCCACTGTTTCACACAGCTTGGTTGGTACACGAATGCCAACTCGTCAGCCCTTTGACCCCTCTACTACATCAAAGTGCATGTCCGAGGAACATGTCTAGTATTTTGCGCGTGCCTTCCACGTGAGCAAAATTCAGAATCCTCACTGTTGAGTTTCTCGTACATATGAATGCAGAGTCTGTTGTGTCCAGTTCACAGACTAAATAGACTGGTGATCTGTTGCTTTCTCGTCAGGAAGATGAACGGGTCTTCCTGATTATTTCTGCATATGAAGTGTCGCACTTAATTTTAACCACTGACTTGCTCTGGTTTTTACTTTCCTGATAAGTGTATCTTGTATCTGACTGTTGTGTGTATCTTGTAACTGGCTGTTGTGTGTATCTTGTAACTGGCTGTTGTGTGTATCTTGTAACTGGCTGTTGTGTGTATCTTGTATCTGGCTGTTGTGTGTATCTTGTAACTGGCTGTTGTGTGTAACTTGTATCTGACTGTTGTGTGTATCTTGTATCTGGCTGTTGTGTGTATCTTGTAACTGGCTGTTGTGTGTATCTTGTATCTGGCTGTTGTGTGTATCTTGTATCTGGCTGTTGTGTGTATCTTGTAACTGGCTGTTGTGTGTATCTTGTAACTGACTGTTGTGTGTATCTTGTAACTGACTGTTGTGTGTATCTTGTATCTGACTGTTGTGTGTATCTTGTAACTGACTGTTGTGTGTATCTTGTAACTGGCTGTTGTGTGTATCTTGTATCAGGTTGTTGTGTGTATCTTGTATCAGGCTGTTGTGTGTATCTTGTATCTGGCTGTTGTGTGTATCTTGTATCTGACTGCTGTGTGTATCTTGTATCTGGCTGTTGTGTGTATCTTGTATCTGGCTGTTGTGTGTATCTTGTATCTGGCTGTTGTGTGTATCTTGTATCTGACTGTTGTGTGTATCTTGTATCTGACTGTTGTGTGTATCTTGTATCTGGCTGTTGTGTGTATCTTGTCTCTGACTGTTGTGTGTAACTTGTATCTGGCTGTTGTGTGTATCTTGTATCTGGCTGTTGTGTGTATCTTGTATCTGACTGTTGTGTGTATCTTGTATCTGGGTGTTGTGTGTATCTTGTATCTTACTGTTGTGTGTATCTTGTATCTGACTGTTGTGTGTATCTTGTATCTGACTCTTGTGTGTATCTTGTAACTGGCTGTTGTGTGTATCTTGTAACTGGCTGTTGTGTGTATCTTGTAACTGGCTGTTGTGTGTATCTTGTATCTGGCTGTTGTGTGTATCTTGTATCTGACTGTTGTGTGTATCTTGTATCTGACTGTTGTGTGTATCTTGTATCTGACTGTTGTGTGTAACTTGTATCTGACTGTTGTGTGTATCTTGTATCTGACTGTTGTGTGTATCTTGTATCTGACTGTTGTGTGTATCTTGTAACTGACTGTTGTGTGTATCTTGTATCTGACTGTTGTGTGTATCTTGTAACTGACTGTTGTGTGTATCTTGTATCTGGCTGTTGTGTGTATCTTGTAACTGGCTGTTGTGTGTAACTTGTATCTGACTGTTGTGTGTATCTTGTAACTGACTGTTGTGTGTATCTTGTATCTGACTGTTGTGTGTAACTTGTAACTGGCTGTTGTGTGTAACTTGTATCTGACTGTTGTGTGTATCTTGTATCTGGCTGTTGTGTGTATCTTGTATCTGGCTGTTGTGTGTATCTTGTATCTGGCTGTTGTGTGTATCTTGTATCTGGCTGTTGTGTGTATCTTGTATCTGACTGTTGTGTGTATCTTGTATCTGGGTGTTGTGTGTATCTTGTATCTTACTGTTGTGTGTATCTTGTATCTGACTGTTGTGTGTATCTTGTATCTGACTCTTGTGTGTATCTTGTAACTGGCTGTTGTGTGTATCTTGTAACTGGCTGTTGTGTGTATCTTGTAACTGGCTGTTGTGTGTATCTTGTATCTGGCTGTTGTGTGTATCTTGTATCTGACTGTTGTGTGTATCTTGTATCTGACTGTTGTGTGTATCTTGTATCTGACTGTTGTGTGTAACTTGTATCTGACTGTTGTGTGTATCTTGTATCTGACTGTTGTGTGTATCTTGTATCTGACTGTTGTGTGTATCTTGTAACTGACTGTTGTGTGTATCTTGTATCTGACTGTTGTGTGTATCTTGTAACTGACTGTTGTGTGTATCTTGTATCTGGCTGTTGTGTGTATCTTGTAACTGGCTGTTGTGTGTAACTTGTATCTGACTGTTGTGTGTATCTTGTAACTGACTGTTGTGTGTATCTTGTATCTGACTGTTGTGTGTAACTTGTAACTGGCTGTTGTGTGTAACTTGTATCTGACTGTTGTGTGTATCTTGTATCTGGCTGTTGTGTGTATCTTGTATCTGGCTGTTGTGTGTATCTTGTATCTGGCTGTTGTGTGTATCTTGTATCTGGCTGTTGTGTGTAACTTGTATCTGACTGTTGTGTGTATCTTGTATCTGGCTGTTGTGTGTATCTTGTATCTGGCTGTTGTGTGTATCTTGTAACTGGCTGTTGTGTATCTTGTATCTTGCTGTTGTGTGTATCTTGTATCTGGCTGTTGTGTGTATCTTGTAACTGGCTGTTGTGTGTATCTTGTATCTGGCTGTTGTGCGTATCTTGTAACTGACTGTTGTGTGTATCTTGTATCTGGCTGTTGTGTGTATCTTGTATCTGGCTGTTGTGTGTATCTTGTATCTGACTGTTGTGTGTATCTTGTAACTGGCTGTTGTGTGTATCTTGTAACTGGCTGTTGTGTGTAACTTGTATCTGGCTGTTGTGTGTATCTTGTATCTGGCTGTTGTGTGTATCTTGTATCTGGCTGTTGTGTGTATCTTGTATCTGACTGCTGTGTGTATCTTGTAACTGACTGTTGTGTGTATCTTGTATCTGACTGTTGTGTGTAACTTGTAACTGGCTGTTGTGTGTAACTTGTATCTGACTGTTGAGTGTATCTTGTATCTGGCTGTCGTGTGTATCTTGTATCTGACTGTTGTGTGTATCTTGTATCTGGCTGTTGTGTGTATCTTGTATCTGGCTGTTGTGTGTAACTTGTATCTGACTGTTGTGTGTATCTTGTATCTGGCTGTTGTGTGTATCTTGTATCTGGCTGTTGTGTGTATCTTGTAACTGGCTGTTGTGTGTATCTTGTAACTGACTGTTGTGTATCTTGTATCTGGCTGTTGTGTGTATCTTGTAACTGGCTGTTGTGTGTAACTTGTATCTGACTGTTGTGTGTATCTTGTAACTGACTGTTGTGTGTATCTTGTATCTGGCTGTTGTGTGTATCTTGTCTCTGACTGTTGTGTGTATCTTGTAACTGGCTGTTGTGTGTATCTTGTAACTGGCTGTTGTGTGTATCTTGTATCTGGCTGTTGTGTGTATCTTGTATCTGGCTGTTGTGTATATCTTGTAACTGACTGTTGTGTGTATCTTGTATCTGGCTGTTGTGTGTATCTTGTAACTGGCTGTTGTGTGTATCTTGTATCTGGCTGTTGTGTGTATCTTGTAACTGGCTGTTGTGTGTAACTTGTATCTGACTGTTGTGTGTATCTTGTAACTGGCTGTTGTGTGTATCTTGTAACTGGCTGTTGTGTGTATCTTGTAACTGGCTGTTGTGTGTAACTTGTATCTGACTGTTGTGTGTATCTTGTATCTGGCTGTTGTGTGTATCTTGTAACTGGCTGTTGTGTGTATCTTGTATCTGGCTGTTGTGTGTATCTTGTATCTGGCTGTTGTGTGTATCTTGTAACTGGCTGTTGTGTGTATCTTGTAACTGACTGTTGTGTGTATCTTGTAACTGACTGTTGTGTGTATCTTGTATCTGACTGTTGTGTGTATCTTGTAACTGACTGTTGTGTGTATCTTGTAACTGGCTGTTGTGTGTATCTTGTATCAGGTTGTTGTGTGTATCTTGTATCAGGCTGTTGTGTGTATCTTGTATCTGGCTGTTGTGTGTATCTTGTATCTGACTGCTGTGTGTATCTTGTATCTGGCTGTTGTGTGTATCTTGTATCTGGCTGTTGTGTGTATCTTGTATCTGGCTGTTGTGTGTATCTTGTATCTGACTGTTGTGTGTATCTTGTATCTGACTGTTGTGTGTATCTTGTATCTGGCTGTTGTGTGTATCTTGTCTCTGACTGTTGTGTGTAACTTGTATCTGGCTGTTGTGTGTATCTTGTATCTGGCTGTTGTGTGTATCTTGTATCTGACTGTTGTGTGTATCTTGTATCTGGGTGTTGTGTGTATCTTGTATCTTACTGTTGTGTGTATCTTGTATCTGACTGTTGTGTGTATCTTGTATCTGACTCTTGTGTGTATCTTGTAACTGGCTGTTGTGTGTATCTTGTAACTGGCTGTTGTGTGTATCTTGTAACTGGCTGTTGTGTGTATCTTGTATCTGGCTGTTGTGTGTATCTTGTATCTGACTGTTGTGTGTATCTTGTATCTGACTGTTGTGTGTATCTTGTATCTGACTGTTGTGTGTAACTTGTATCTGACTGTTGTGTGTATCTTGTATCTGACTGTTGTGTGTATCTTGTATCTGACTGTTGTGTGTATCTTGTAACTGACTGTTGTATGTATCTTGTATCTGACTGTTGTGTGTATCTTGTAACTGACTGTTGTGTGTATCTTGTATCTGGCTGTTGTGTGTATCTTGTAACTGGCTGTTGTGTGTAACTTGTATCTGACTGTTGTGTGTATCTTGTAACTGACTGTTGTGTGTATCTTGTATCTGACTGTTGTGTGTAACTTGTAACTGGCTGTTGTGTGTAACTTGTATCTGACTGTTGTGTGTATCTTGTATCTGGCTGTTGTGTGTATCTTGTATCTGGCTGTTGTGTGTATCTTTTATTTGGCTGTTGTGTGT